CAGGTAGAGCGGCAGCAGCGTGCGCGGAGCTCGCGAGTCGGCGCGCAGCGGACCGAACGCGGCGCTACATGTCGATACGTGTGTGTGTGTGTGTGTTATATGTGTGTACATACGACGAAGTGCACGGTGAGCGGTGCGGACAGGTTGGAGAGATGCAGGTAGAGCGGCAGCAGCGTGCGCGCAGCTCGCGAGTCGGCGCGCAGCGGACCGAACGCGGCGCTACATGTCGATACGTGTGTGTGTGTGTGTGTTATATGTGTGTACATACGACGAAGTGCACGGTGAGCGGTGCGGACAGGTTGGAGAGATGCAGGTAGAGCGGCAGCAGCGTGCGCGCAGCTCGCGAGTCGGCGCGCAGCGGACCGAACGCGGCGCTACATGTCGATACGTGTGTGTGTGTGTGTGTGTTATATGTGTGTACATACGACGAAGTGCACGGTGAGCGGTGCGGACAGGTTGGAGAGATGCAGGTAGAGCGGCAGCAGCGTGCGCGCAGCTCGCGAGTCGGCGCGCAGCGGACCGAACGCGGCGCTACATGTCGATACGTGTGTGTGTGTGTGTGTGTTATATATGTGTACATACGACGAAGTGCACGGTGAGCGGTGCGGACAGGTTGGAGAGATGCAGGTAGAGCGGCAGCAGCGTGCGCGCAGCTCGCGAGTCGGCGCGCAGCGGACCGAACGCGGCGCTACATGTCGATACGTGTGTGTGTGTGTGTGTTATATATGTGTACATACGACGAAGTGCACGGTGAGCGGTGCGGACAGGTTGGAGAGATGCAGGTAGAGCGGCAGCAGCGTGCGCGCAGCTCGCGAGTCGGCGCGCAGCGGACCGAACGCGGCGCTACATGTCGATACGTGTGTGTGTGTGTGTGTTATATATGTGTACATACGACGAAGTGCACGGTGAGCGGTGCGGACAGGTTGGAGAGATGCAGGTAGAGCGGCAGCAGCGTGCGCGCAGCTCGCGAGTCGGCGCGCAGCGGACCGAACGCGGCGCTACATGTCGATACGTGTGTGTGTGTGTGTGTTATATATGTGTACATACGACGAAGTGCACGGTGAGCGGTGCGGACAGGTTGGAGAGATGCAGGTAGAGCGGCAGCAGCGTGCGCGCAGCTCGCGAGTCGGCGCGCAGCGGACCGAACGCGGCGCTACATGTCGATACGTGTGTGTGTGTGTGTGTTATATATGTGTACATACGACGAAGTGCACGGTGAGCGGTGCGGACAGGTTGGAGAGATGCAGGTAGAGCGGCAGCAGCGTGCGCGCAGCTCGCGAGTCGGCGCGCAGCGGACCGAACGCGGCGCTACATGTCGATACGTGTGTGTGTGTGTGTGTTATATATGTGTACATACGACGAAGTGCACGGTGAGCGGTGCGGACAGGTTGGAGAGATGCAGGTAGAGCGGCAGCAGCGTGCGCGCAGCTCGCGAGTCGGCGCGCAGCGGACCGAACGCGGCGCTACATGTCGATACGTGTGTGTGTGTGTGTGTGTGTGTGTGTGTGTGTGTGTGTGTGTGTGTGTGTGTGTGTGTGTGTTATATGTGTGTACATACGACGAAGTGCACGGTGAGCGGTGCGGACAGGTTGGAGAGATGCAGGTAGAGCGGCAGCAGCGTGCGCGCAGCTCGCGAGTCGGCGCGCAGCGGACCGAACGCGGCGCTACATGTCGATACGTGTGTGTGTGTGTGTGTTATATGTGTGTACATACGACGAAGTGCACGGTGAGCGGTGCGGACAGGTTGGAGAGATGCAGGTAGAGCGGCAGCAGCGTGCGCGCAGCTCGCGAGTCGGCGCGCAGCGGACCGAACGCGGCGCTACATGTCGATACGTGTGTGTGTGTGTGTGTTATATGTGTGTACATACGACGAAGTGCACGGTGAGCGGTGCGGACAGGTTGGAGAGATGCAGGTAGAGCGGCAGCAGCGTGCGCGCAGCTCGCGAGTCGGCGCGCAGCGGACCGAACGCGGCGCTACATGTCGATACGTGTGTGTGTGTGTGTGTTATATGTGTGTACATACGACGAAGTGCACGGTGAGCGGTGCGGACAGGTTGGAGAGATGCAGGTAGAGCGGCAGCAGCGTGCGCGCAGCTCGCGAGTCGGCGCGCAGCGGACCGAACGCGGCGCTACATGTCGATACGTGTGTGTGTGTGTGTGTGTGTTATATATGTGTACATACGACGAAGTGCACGGTGAGCGGTGCGGACAGGTTGGAGAGATGCAGGTAGAGCGGCAGCAGCGTGCGCGCAGCTCGCGAGTCGGCGCGCAGCGGACCGAACGCGGCGCTACATGTCGATACGTGTGTGTGTGTGTGTGTGTGTGTTATATATGTGTACATACGACGAAGTGCACGGTGAGCGGTGCGGACAGGTTGGAGAGATGCAGGTAGAGCGGCAGCAGCGTGCGCGCAGCTCGCGAGTCGGCGCGCAGCGGTCCGAACGCGGCGCTAGACAACGATACGTGTGTGTGTGTGTGTGTGTTATATATGTGTACATACGACGAAGTGCACGGTGAGCGGTGCGGACAGGTTGGAGAGATGCAGGTAGAGCGGCAGCAGCGTGCGCGCAGCTCGCGAGTCGGCGCGCAGCGGACCGAACGCGGCGCTACATGTCGATACGTGTGTGTGTGTGTGTGTTATATGTGTGTACATACGACGAAGTGCACGGTGAGCGGTGCGGACAGGTTGGAGAGATGCAGGTAGAGCGGCAGCAGCGTGCGCGCAGCTCGCGAGTCGGCGCGCAGCGGACCGAACGCGGCGCTACATGTCGATACGTGTGTGTGTGTGTGTGTTATATGTGTGTACATACGACGAAGTGCACGGTGAGCGGTGCGGACAGGTTGGAGAGATGCAGGTAGAGCGGCAGCAGCGTGCGCGCAGCTCGCGAGTCGGCGCGCAGCGGACCGAACGCGGCGCTACATGTCGATACGTGTGTGTGTGTGTGTGTTATATGTGTGTACATACGACGAAGTGCACGGTGAGCGGTGCGGACAGGTTGGAGAGATGCAGGTAGAGCGGCAGCAGCGTGCGCGCAGCTCGCGAGTCGGCGCGCAGCGGACCGAACGCGGCGCTACATGTCGATACGTGTGTGTGTGTGTGTGTGTGTGTTATATATGTGTACATACGACGAAGTGCACGGTGAGCGGTGCGGACAGGTTGGAGAGATGCAGGTAGAGCGGCAGCAGCGTGCGCGCAGCTCGCGAGTCGGCGCGCAGCGGACCGAACGCGGCGCTACATGTCGATACGTGTGTGTGTGTGTGTGTTATATGTGTGTACATACGACGAAGTGCACGGTGAGCGGTGCGGACAGGTTGGAGAGATGCAGGTAGAGCGGCAGCAGCGTGCGCGCAGCTCGCGAGTCGGCGCGCAGCGGACCGAACGCGGCGCTACATGTCGATACGTGTGTGTGTGTGTGTGTTATATGTGTGTACATACGACGAAGTGCACGGTGAGCGGTGCGGACAGGTTGGAGAGATGCAGGTAGAGCGGCAGCAGCGTGCGCGCAGCTCGCGAGTCGGCGCGCAGCGGACCGAACGCGGCGCTACATGTCGATACGTGTGTGTGTGTGTGTGTTATATGTGTGTACATACGACGAAGTGCACGGTGAGCGGTGCGGACAGGTTGGAGAGATGCAGGTAGAGCGGCAGCAGCGTGCGCGCAGCTCGCGAGTCGGCGCGCAGCGGACCGAACGCGGCGCTACATGTCGATACGTGTGTGTGTGTGTGTGTTATATGTGTGTACATACGACGAAGTGCACGGTGAGCGGTGCGGACAGGTTGGAGAGATGCAGGTAGAGCGGCAGCAGCGTGCGCGCAGCTCGCGAGTCGGCGCGCAGCGGACCGAACGCGGCGCTACATGTCGATACGTGTGTGTGTGTGCGTGTTATATGTGTGTACATACGACGAAGTGCACGGTGAGCGGTGCGGACAGGTTGGAGAGATGCAGGTAGAGCGGCAGCAGCGTGCGCGCAGCTCGCGAGTCGGCGCGCAGCGGACCGAACGCGGCGCTACATGTCGATACGTGTGTGTGTGTGTGTGTTATATGTGTGTACATACGACGAAGTGCACGGTGAGCGGTGCGGACAGGTTGGAGAGATGCAGGTAGAGCGGCAGCAGCGTGCGCGCAGCTCGCGAGTCGGCGCGCAGCGGACCGAACGCGGCGCTACATGTCGATACGTGTGTGTGTGTGTGTGTGTTATATATGTGTACATACGACGAAGTGCACGGTGAGCGGTGCGGACAGGTTGGAGAGATGCAGGTAGAGCGGTAGCAGCGTGCGCGCAGCTCGCGAGTCGGCGCGCAGCGGACCGAACGCGGCGCTACATGTCGATACGTGTGTGTGTGTGTGTGTGTGTGTTATATATGTGTACATACGACGAAGTGCACGGTGAGCGGTGCGGACAGGTTGGAGAGATGCAGGTAGAGCGGCAGCAGCGTGCGCGCAGCTCGCGAGTCGGCGCGCAGCAGACCGAACGCGGCGCTACATGTCGATACGTGTGTGTGTGTGTGTGTTATATGTGTGTACATACGACGAAGTGCACGGTGAGCGGTGCGGACAGGTTGGAGAGATGCAGGTAGAGCGGCAGCAGCGTGCGCGCAGCTCGCGAGTCGGCGCGCAGCGGACCGAACGCGGCGCTACATGTCGATACGTGTGTGTGTGTGTGTGTTATATGTGTGTACATACGACGAAGTGCACGGTGAGCGGTGCGGACAGGTTGGAGAGATGCAGGTAGAGCGGCAGCAGCGTGCGCGCAGCTCGCGAGTCGGCGCGCAGCGGACCGAACGCGGCGCTACATGTCGATACGTGTGTGTGTGTGTGTGTGTGTGTTATATATGTGTACATACGACGAAGTGCACGGTGAGCGGTGCGGACAGGTTGGAGAGATGCAGGTAGAGCGGCAGCAGCGTGCGCGCAGCTCGCGAGTCGGCGCGCAGCGGACCGAACGCGGCGCTACATGTCGATACGTGTGTGTGTGTGTGTGTTATATGTGTGTACATACGACGAAGTGCACGGTGAGCGGTGCGGACAGGTTGGAGAGATGCAGGTAGAGCGGCAGCAGCGTGCGCGCAGCTCGCGAGTCGGCGCGCAGCGGACCGAACGCGGCGCTAGACAACGATACGCGCGTCGCCAGCTGCAGCCGCGCTGTCACATTCTTCAAACTGGCCTGTTTGCAACAATTTCATTCAATATGTTTGGCTTCGCCTGGGTAGGATCTAGTAATGTGGCGTTATTTGAATTTAAGAAAATTAAAAGACCATTTATTTTGTAAATTTTACGTCTTTCCAAAAAATCTTAAAAATTGTTCTGATAAAATATAGCTTAGATCCCTCCTGGGACAGGTTGGAGAGATGCAGGTAGAGCGGCAGCAGCGTGCGCGCAGCTCGCGAGTCGGCGCGCAGCGGACCGAACGCGGCGCTAGACAACGATACGCGCGTCGCCAGCTGCAGCCGCGCTGTCACATTCTTCAAACTGGCCTGTTTGCAACAATTTCATTCAATATGTTTGGCTTCGCCTGGGTAGGATCTAGTAATGTGGCGTTATTTGAATTTAAGAAAATTAAAAGACCATTTATTTTGTAAATTTTACGTCTTTCCAAAAAATCTTAAAAATTGTTCTGATAAAATATAGCTTAGATCCCTCCTGGCATTGCTCTTTATCTGTTTGTAAAATTTCGTCACAATCTGTTTAATCATTGTAAATAACCGCCGATCGACAGACAAAATGTTAAAACTCAGCTAACAAATGAGTAGCATGGTGAAAAAATGAAACCTTGATGGAATTTGTTGATCAACGCATTCAAGTCGATACAATATATATTGAATTTAGCAAGGCATTCCAAAAGGCAGACCATGAAATACTTTTTCATAAATTGTCTCACTTTGGTATCGATGTTTGGTACTCTAATTTACAGTAGTTTGCGTCCTATTTAAAAGATCGCCAATCATTTGTGGTTGTTAATGGAGCTAAAACTTACAGTTCATACCTTGGTCTATCTTGTTTCCAATGTTTATAAATAATATAGTAAATTTTTTCTTTTCTTAACTTCATATTATTATCTGTTTTCTTTACCTTTTTTTTTAACATCACTTCGTCATTTACGTAAGTTGTGGTTACCTGTAGGAAGATGAACACGTAGCATGATATAGAGAAAATATAACTTAACACTGCGACTACAGTGTTAAGTTATATATTTGTTAGTATTGTGTATCATCAGTTGGTGATCCAAATAAAGAGACAAAAAAGAGCCTGGTCCTACCCCGGTTGAGCCGACCCATACGTTCTACAACTAGGGTTTGTGTCTCGTGTCTCGAAGTCCCGGAACTTTTCGTAATTTTAGTTGTCTCGAGTCCCGGGACTTTGACGGGAGATTGTCGAAATTGTTATGTAATCATTTTTATTTTCAAATAATTGAAGTAGCCTAGCGCCATGTGTTAGTTTAATGAAAAATTAACTACTGAGTACGCAACACAATAAATGAAACAAATATGTGATTATAAGGATTAACCATGAGATTATGAACTATGATTAGATACTAGAATTACTGGATAATAAGTAAAGTTATGAAGAATTAGTATGATTGTTATCTATGTTCGTTTCATAACTATAAGATTTAACTGATTAGAAGTGCATCTGTGTGTGACTAAAAGAAATAAACAAAGCAATTATTAAGGATGAAATTAACGTTAAAGTTGTTTAATTTTCTGGTAAAATTCTCGTGTCGCGGTGTTTGTTACCAAACTCCTCCGAAACGGCTGAACCGATTTGTATAAAATTTTGTGTGCATATCGGGTAGGTCTGAGAATCGGCCAACAACTATTTTTCAAACCCCTAAATCAAAAGGGTGACCCACCCCTAAATAATTTTTTGACAATTTTTTTATTTTTATTTTATCATGATTTAGCTGTGAATAATACATAAAACTTCAAATTTTCACCCTTCTACGATCAACCCATGCTTTTCAATCGCGATTTTAAAAGTAAAAAATATTTCCTAGAAATAATGTATATGGCAAAACAACGTTAGCCGGGTCAGCTAGTTATTTATTTATTTATTTTATTTTATTTTATAGGAGAGGGGGCAAACGAGCATGCGGCTCACCTGATGGTAAGTGACTACCGCCGCCCATGAACAACCGCAACACCAGGGGAATTGCAGATGCGTTGCCGGCCTTTTAAAAAGGAGTAGGCTCTTTTCTTGAAGGTCCCTAAGTCGAATCGGTCCGGAAAAATCGTATCGATTCCATCTTCGAGGTAATCGATTCCACAAGGAAGCCGTGCGAGGAAGAAAACATCTTCTAAATCGCAAAGTGTGGACCGCCAATCATCCAGATGGTGTGGATGGTATCGGGAGTTCTGCCGCGATGTGCGTTCATGAAATTTGGCGGCTGGGATTAATCCGAACAATTCCTCAGAGCACTCCCCATGATAGATGCGAAAGAAAATGCAAAGAGATGCAACATCTCTTCGCAGTGCCAATGAATCGAGCCGATCGGAAAGGGCTCGGTCGTCGACGATTCGAGCCGCTCTGCGCTGGATGCGGTCAAGTGGAAGGAGCTGGTACTGGGGAGCCCCTGCCCAGAGATGGGAACAGTATTCCATGTGAGGCCGAACCTGCGCCTTGTAAAGTTGCAGGCGGTGTGCCGGCATGAAATACTGTCCCGCTCTGCTGAGCACGCCAAGCTTTTTAGAGGCCAATTTGGCCTTCCCTTCCAAGTGACCACGAAACTGCACGTCACTCGATATGTCGACTCCGAGGATACCGATACTGGCTGAGGCAAGAAGAGGAGTGCCTTGAAACTGAGGAGATACGACAAAGGGGTTCTTTTTAGCGGTAAACGCGCAAACTTGTGTCTTCTGAGGATTAAACTGGACTAGATTTAGTCGCCCCCAATCCGAGACTTTGTCCAGCAAAGACTCGACTTCAGACACAAGTTTGTTCCGGTACTCGGCGACGTTTTCCCGAGAAATATTGGCCCGGCCGGTGTATAGAGCATCACCAGTGCTGTCATCCGCATAGCAATGAATGTTACCAGTTAGCAACATATCATTGATATGCAGAAGAAACAGCGTTGGTGATAACACACAGCCTTGTGGAACACCAGCGTTAATAGGCTTGTAGTCAGAACATGCACCGTCTACAACGACCTTGATGCTCCGATCTGCAAGGAAGCTGGTGATCCAATTGCACAATTTCTCGGGAAGCCCATAGGAAGGGAGCTTCGAAAGAAGCGCTTTGTGCCAAACCCGATCGAAGGCCTTCGCAATGTCCAGACTAACGGCCAACGCCTCCCCCTTGGACTCTACTGCCTCCGCCCATCTATGAGTCAGGTAGACCAGAAGATCACCAGCTGATCGACCCCGACGAAAACCGTATTGGCGGTCACTAATCAGCTGGTGATCCTCAAGGTACCGGATGAGCTGGCAGTTAATAATGGATTCCATTATTTTGGAGAACAAGGAGGTGATCGCGATAGGCCTATAGTTGGACGGGTCTGAGCGGTCGCCTTTTTTAGGGATCGGGTGGACAAAAGCTGTCTTCCATGAATTCGGGACTACGCCTTGGGAGTAGGAGTACCGGAAAAGACGCGTTAGGACCAGTGCCAACTCCGGAGCACACGTCCTCAGCACAATTGGGGGGATTCCGTCAGGCCCACTCGACTTCTGGATGTCCAGGGAGAGAAGTGCTTTGCGAACTGAGCGCTGTGAGAACAGCACATCCGGCATGGAGCACTCACACCGCGGGATGGTCGGCGGTATTTTCCCCCCGTCATCAAGAGTCGAGTTGGACGCAAAAAGGGAGCCTAAAAGGTCAGCTTTGTCTTTTGCGTCTTGGGCCAGTGAGTCGTCCTCCCTGTGCAGAGATGGTAGTGATGGCTTACAGAAATTCCCTTGGACAGCCTTGGCGAGAGACTAGAATGCACGGGTTCCCGAAGGAAGGCGAACTAGCTTCTCGCCAATTCTGCCTATGTGCTCTGACTTTGCCTTGGCAATAACTCTTTTGAAGGACCTGGAGGCGAAGTTATACTTCTTTTTTAATGTGCTGGTGTTTAGATCCCGAGTCACCGAAGCCGCAGCCCAGGCTTGATAACACTCCTGCTTACTGCGCAATGCAGTCTTACAGGAGCGACCAAACCAAGGCTGAGATCTGCCTCCGATGGGTACCACAGATGATGGAATAAATAGTTCCATTCCCTGTAGCACCACATCAGTGACAGAGACAGCAACAGCGCTGGGGTCGTCCGGCGAGAAGCAAACCCGCCCCCATGGGTAGGATGCAAAGAAAGACCGCATTCCGTCCCAATCCGCCGACCTGTAATGCCAAACACGGCGGCAACCTGCAGAACGCAACCGCGAAGGGAGCGTGAGTGGCACCATACTCATACCGTCTACGGGTGCCTCTATAGGTCCCATAGCGGTAATGCCGAAACAGACCGACTCATTGACCACGTCCAAATGGCTACAGATTCCTTGCTACAACAGGTCCCATCCGCAGAGATCGTGATCCTTGGCGATTTTAACGCCCACCATGCCGAATGGCTCGGTTCACGTTTAACCGATCATGCGGGGAGATCTGTTTATGACTTTGCCTTGGCATATGGTCTGACACAACTGGTTACTTCGCCTACGCGGATTCCAGATGTGGAGGATCATACACCTTCCCTGTTGGATCTTCTGCTGACCTCTCATCCGGACGGATATCAGGTTTCCGTCGATGCCCCTCTCGGCTCTTCGGACCATTGTCTGATAGTTGTTTAATAAATGTTGATTTTTACAATAAATTGCCTTCTTTTCTCTTTTTAATACGTTTCACCAGAAATTAACTCAATTATAATTCTACAAAACAGGCTTACCCATCTTAAAAAAAACAAAAAAGCTTTTTCTTAAAAGTCTCGATGTCCCGGGAATTTCTGGGACTTTGATTATAGGCTGTCCCGTGTCCCGGGACTTTGAAATTGTCGGGAATTCCCAAAACATAGCTACAACCACAATATAGCTGCGGCGTGCCTCTACAATGTACAAACCATTGTGCAAAACATCATGTTTTGCCACGGTTATTAGGTACAAACCGCTTATTTAGATAATCTAAAAAAAGGGATCATTCTATGGCAACTTTTTTTTATTAAACTGTAGTAATAAAAACGAACAATACAGCCCGCTTGATGGTAAGTAGATGTCCATGGACTGCCTACTGCAGTCAACTTCAAACAAAGAAGACTAAACATGCATTGTCACCTGTGATGTCTAAGACGGGATTCCTCACGGTCTGTGACTACTGGCTTTCTATTCCCTTCATATTGGAACACAGCAGTAAAAGCAATGCTGACAATAATAGCTAAGAGAGGGCTAGCTTTCTTTCTTTCTCTAAAAAAACGTTATCCCCACACTAGGATTTTCTCCTGTAGTGGATGCAGTTTACAAACATAAATTGCACAAGGGCAAACATCCAGACCCGGAACAATTATTTGTAGGCCATACAAATACTTGTTCCGTGCGTGATTCGAACCCGCAGCCCCCAGCGCAACAACTCATTGCTAAGCCACTGCGCCACGGAGCCGGCTAGCTAGCTAGCTTGCCTAGCTACCCAAACTATGTAGAAAAAAGGTCCTATCACCTAGTGTTAGTCCTAACACCGTCTTGTGTTTATGTCAAGAATGCGTTTTTTCGTAATGTCGTCAGCATATTTAAAACACGAAACTGTCCATTTGATCAGTCGATTTTTTAATTCAATTCAATTCAATTTCGTATTTATTCTCTCGCACATATGGTCACACAATGACTCATTTCTTAAATATAAGTTGTAAATTCAGCTTTATAAATTGTTCACTATACCTCAAACTCATAGACAGCGCTGGTGTCGTGGTCCGCAGTGAACATGACCCGTGCGACTCCTCCTGTATCGGTTAGGGCGGACACACACGTGGCGTTTTGCTCCGTTCCCGAACGACGCCGGCATACGCGCACGTGTTCCCCACTCGCCGGCTTGTCGTCCCACCGAACTGCTTTCACCTGTTGTGGCATCACATAGTATGTGCTAAATCATAAACATAGATGGCGTCGACCCATGAACGAAGAATTGGTAGGTACGTTGCCGGCCTTTTTAAAAAGGAATAAGCTTATATCTTGAAGGTCCCTAAATCGTATAATGGTAACACCATTTCCGTTATTTTAAACGTGGTAGAGCAATGCTGCAGCTATATTTATAGTATAGTTGTAGCACGCATGTGTTGGCTCGACCGGGGAAGGACCACGTTCTCACAGAATACCAGCGTAAAATAGCAGTTTAATGCTACTGTGTTTCGTATGGTGAGTGTAGAGAACCGGAGACACTTTTTACTGGAAACGAGGCATTTCATCTTAGTCCTCACGGGTGACAAAGCATCTGCAATTCGTAATCGAGGATAGATGTAGATTTCTATGGGCCACAGCAACCACTTACCATCAGGTGGACTGTGTGGTCGTTTGTCACCGGTGAACAAAGATCTCCCTCATAGATAGGATATTTCTTAAAGTTGCCACGCCTTGACAGACGGTTTGGAAGCCGCATTTTTTTTTTCTAGTTGTTAAAAGGAAAACGTAGCTACAAATCTCCTGGTTTGTTTCCCTCTGTTGCCTCTTACGACACCTACGGGACATTACGGCTTAGTGGATTTTCTTGCACCGCCGCTACCCGGTAAAGTGATAGACGTATTTCATCTAATTATATTAGAAGTGCTTGAGTAGTTATCAACCTTAAATTATTTCGTGCACTCAAAATTACTAAGAATCTCTAGGTTTAATATGTTTACTTATTCTACATTTCATTTCAATTTAGACCTTATTGCTCTTCTTAATAGAATGATAACAGTGTTATTAAAGTCAAACAGATCACATTTCAGATAGCCTCAGCATCGTTTTGATACAATAATAATTTGATTTGATTGACTGAGACCTCAATTCTATTTCTATTGAAATTATGATTAAATTTACTAACATTTAAATTACAATAACGTCAACTCTGTTGTTAAATTGTTGATGATATTTAATGTGGTACTAGCTGGTAGCCGGCGCGTCGCCGCCCCAGCGAAACAAAAGTGAAAATATCGCTTAAGAGTTATATTAGGAATATAGAGTTATATTAGAAATAGTTTAATTAGGAGTGATAATACAATCATTGCAGTTGAATGATATATTTTTTTTTATAAGATAAGGGTGACAAACGAGCACACAGTCCACCTGATGGTAAGTGGTTGCTGCGGCCCATAGACATCTACATCTATCCTCTGTTACAAATCAAAATGCAGATGCGTTATCACCCGTGAGAACTAAGATGGAATGCCTCATTTCCAGTAAAAAGGACCTCCGGCCACCTGCACTCACTAGGTGAAACGCAGAGGTAAACCTCTACTTCACGCTGGTATTCTGTGAGGTCGTGGTACCACCCCGGTTCGAGCCGGCGCATCCGTGCGACAGTAAAAGCTGCCGCGTGGCTCTACCACGCTGGAATATTACTTTCAAATAAATTTGTCTGCTGACTTATAGTCCATATACTTCGAACATCCCGGGAATCATAACCAGATGGAGGATATGACGTTGCAGACTATTTAATTATTATTATTACCTCTAAACACTTTTCTTCCTATAATATCTCTTAGATTTCGATAAAACTTTGGTGAGTTGTTGTGCGTGCTTCTACAGGGTAGGGTCTAGGGTATAGGGTAAGGTATTCGATAAGGTAGACCCTTAACTTAAGTTTTAACTGCAGCCCAAAGATTCTTGCAACCAGCTGCATAACGTTGTTATCCTTGAAGGCTAAGGTAAAGTGGATAGTGTAATTAAAGGATGTACTGGCCTTTCCAACTTTTGAAACTGTGTACCGTTAGGTGGTTCAGAAGTAGGTGGGTTCTTAAAAAAAGTCAATGTTTATAGTAAAGCAATGCTGCAAAAGTAAGTATGAGAGTAGTATCAATACACACAACCTCCGAGGCACATTGTATGAAAAAGATTACCTTCAACTTGTATGGCAGGCTGGGCGATAATGGCGCTTGATGCTTCGTTAGAAACTCCAAGGTCACTGGATCGTCTACTACTTGAGAGACAACCGTTGTGTTCTGCCAAATCCTGGTGCCTTCTTCCTGTGAAAAAGAACTACAGATGAGTACAGTTTTGTAAACATAGAAGACTGAAGAACACCTTAAACACTTAACATGCTCCATTGCTTAAAACTCTTTTATCATAATTAAGCGTCAGTAGCCTAATGGCAGGGTGAGGCCGCGAACTTAAAAGGTCGTGGATTCGAATCGGCCATTCGACTACTGTCATGAAACACTAAGGCTGAGATCTATAGATTGTACTTTGACTTTGCTCAAACTTAGCTTACGAAAAACTTTGATTCTCAATTTATCTTGTATCGGGCTAAGATTAAGCTAAGCTTATGCTAAGGCCCAGACAGTCCAAATATTAATGGATGCTTCATTCTACGCATTATGTTTTTGACTTTACTCTATAAAATTAAAATATATATATATATTTAAAATCAAAATTACAATATAATATATATATATATATATATATATATATGTATATATACCTAGTCAGGTCATAAATTCTGTCACATGTTTAATATAAAATAATTGAAACAAGTATATTCATTATGTAACCATTTACGTACCAAAATGAACTTAACAAAACATAGATTCTTATGACAGTAAAGTTTATTCAAAATGACCTCCGTGATTTTGAATACAGGCCTTCAATCTGCGCGGCCAGTCGTCAATCGCAGCACGAACGAGGTCCATGTCAATATCGGCGGCTGCCTTAATCAAGGATGTCTTGAGTGACTCCAAATTGGGATGACGCTTTGAGCACGCCTTTTCCTCCAAGTGTTGCCATATCTTGTAATTTAACGGATTCAAATCTGGACTGGAGGAGGGCCAGTCTTCGTGCCAGATGAAGTCGATTTCACGCGTCGCCAGCCAGTCTTGTGTGCTCTTCGCTCTATGAGCTGACGCCGAATCTTGTTGGAATACCCAGTGTCTGTTATTGAACATGGTATAAGAAACAGGTTCCACAAGGTACGTCAGGACTGTATTTTGATACACAACTTTTTTTTTATAGGATCTGGTGACAAACGAGCACACAGTCCACCTGATGGTAAGTGGCTACTGTGACCCATAGACATCTACATCTATCCTCAATAAAGACTCAAGATGTAGATGCGTTGTCACCCGTGAGGACTAAGATGGAATGCCTCCCTGCCAGCAAAAAGGGTCTCCGGCTCTCCACACTCACCATACGAAACACAGCAGCGTTAAACTGCTATTTTACGCTGGTTTTCTGTGAGAGCGTGGTCCTTCCCCGGTCCATAATATAGCTGCAGTATGGCTCTACCACGTATAAAAAAGAATTTCCCGATATTTTTTTCCCGCGTACCGCTTCAACAAAGCGCGGCATCTCTTTAGTCTCAGGTCCATTAGACGAGCCTTCAAACGATGTCCTGTTTTTCTTCGATATGCCCGAAGCCCAAAGTCTTCATTTAACATCCTTTTCACCGTGGTTCTGCTTAACCCCATCTGAAGGGCCAACAGTTTCTGCTTACGTTTGGGATTTCTTTGAATTCGCGCCTTCACAGCTTTTATCACTGCTGGAGTCCTAACAGACCGAGGGCGACCAGTTCTTGACCTGTCATCTACACTAGAGTCTTCATTGTATCGTTTGATGGTACGATAAACGAATCTTTTGGTTATATTTAAATTTTTCAGTATGTCAAAAATTTGAATTGGCGCGTGACCGCAACGATGCAACGCAATAACTGCAACACGGTCTTCTTTAAGCGTCCACTTTATATTTAAAAATGAGTAAAATTCTAAAAAGTATACAGTTTTATTTTCATGAACAATTCTAAATTCGAATTCAATAAACTTTTTTGTGGCCAGCATTCTAAAAGAAAAGTTTTTACTGTGTAACAATACTTATGACCTGACTAGGTATATATATATATATATATATATATATATATATATATATATATATATATATATATATTTATATATATATATATTTTTTTAAATGCTAGTAATGTTATTAAACATTACTAATATTACCTTTAACCACTCCCGGTAAGCTTAAAATGCTTGTGTTAGAAGTGGTTAACGACAGTAGTCAATGGCGAATTGGAACTCACGACCTTTCGAGTTCGCGGTCCGCGCTCCGCCATTAGGCTACTGACGCTTATAATATATATGTCGGAGCGTCTATAAAATACCCGGTTGGATCGAGGTAGAAAGGAGGGTATATCGAGAAACCCCCCTCTTGTGTCTGTAGTATAAAGTTCACTGTAGGTGCCGTGCGCGAGACTCCGCTCAAGTCATTCAACGAGTGTGGTCACTCTACTAGTGCTAAGATAGTGTCGTGGTTCTGTTCGTTGTTGTAATTCTTCTAGTGCAGACAAGGAGGATTGGTGTTGCTGAGATGCTGTCCAGTGTTACATTGAGATAAGTAGTGTTGCTGTTGGTTTGAATATTTTGGTGTTATCATGTAATTACGTACCTCACGTTACACTGGTGTGTGATTGTGGCGGAGACGTGTTACGGTGTGGTCGAACTGTAATTTCACTATGCTGGATGTATAGTGCGTTACGCTGTCTTATTACTGATAATGATTAACTGCGTAAGCAAGAGAGCAAGTTGAACATCCGCTCTCACACTTTTATTATTTTTAACAATTAACGCTATCCTGACGTATTTCCGAGATCAAAATTGGAATTCTCTATTGTAATTCTCCGACGATATATATATATTTAAAATTGAAAACAGTCCAAATTGTATGTCATAAATAAGTTATTATAACATGAAATAGAAAATGGGCGTATGAGATCGGGAACGGATGAGATGAGTGCAAAATCAAGAAAAAAAAGAAAGAAATAAGATTTTAAGAAATTGGAAACAAGATTGAAATTACGTTAATAGAAAATGGAATTATGCTATTTAAAACTAGAACACGGCCTAAAACTACCTATTTATTCTATTTTAATAATTAATTAGAGTAACATAAAAACAACAATTTAAAATTAATACGGCGTCGGTCGTCGATATCGTCGAATTAGGCTTTGCTAAGCGCGCACTCTGACTTTGCTCAGACTTTACTTTCTACAGATTAGTTATCTATAGATCTCAGTCTAATAGTTTAAGCTTTACCAGGACTAGTTAAAGGGAATATTAGTAATGTTAAGAGGATTGTTAGTATTTAAAATAAAATATGTTTTTAAGTTATCACTGTTAAATGACTAATCCTCTCGGATCTTTCTCAGCAGTTTCCCAGTCAGGCTTTTGTCGGCTGGTACAGCAGAAGTAGTAACACTATTATTGTGTTGCTAATTTTACTTAAATTTCTTTTTATTTTCGAATCTATTAGAATGTTCCGTCACTAAAGTCCATTCGCCACTAAAGATGTTAAGCTCTGCCGTTTGTAACACAATAGAGTAGTTTCGTTGTTATTAAAAAAAAAACGCTGCTGCACATTTTCTGGTATCTTTCCTTCTGTCATCTCTTATAACACCCACGGGACGATGAGAGGTGATGGATATTCTTACACCGCCACTACTATATCATAATCAGCTTGTCATAGTCATAGAATAGAATAGACTAATTTTTATTCAATATTGATTACTAGTTATTCTTATTGAACGTATTGTGTTTACTTTACCAATGGTTCGGAAAAAACCGCTGAAACGTGAAGAATCGGCAATAAACCAAGCGGGACTTCAAGTAGTTTCCAGAACCGTCTACTGTAGAAACTTCTAGAATGTTCGAGTACATAGTCCCGATTGACTAGGTGTCGATAGTTCTAGAAACTTCTTCCATGAAAATTTCTGGAATGTTCTTGACTCTCTTAGTTCTGATACTAGATACTAGAGGGCGCTAATGGTAAGTAGTGTCGCCATGTACCATGTATTAATTGTGGCGAGCGAAAGTATACATTGCCCCAAGAATGAATTACTGACTGTGAGGAGTCGAGAAACTGATATCATATTACCTCTTTAACGAAGTTTATATTATACCGGTGGTTTGCCCATGGTCGCCTGTTACTCTTACGATACCTACGGGATGAAATACGGTGATGTATTTTCATATGCTGCCACCACAATATTTACTATTAGTACAGCGTTGTCGTCGCGCCACAAGCGAAACGTGCCGAAGCCTAAATCACGCTATCAAAGTTTCGAAGCACTACGGTATACATATATACAATAGGTCTGTACTACCACACGAAGCGTTGGCCGCTTTCAGGACTGAATACTTTGTCCGGCGTGAGAGGCGAAACGGGGTATAAATTTCCCAAATGTGTGTTTTTTTGTGAAATTTAAACTGCCTCTAGAGAAAATTGTAGTGGGAAGAGGAATAAAAATAGTACATGGGCCGTTTTGCCTCTGCATTTAATATAGCTATAGTGGAAGGGCACTTTTCTGCCGTTGTCACGCACCTGGAAGCTGAAGTCCGCCACGAGCACTTGCGGCGGGTGGGCGCCGGCGAGCCCCACCCTGGTGGCAGCGGCGGCGTGGCGGTGGCAGGCGCGCGGCGCGCGCAGCCGCACGGCCGTGCGCACGCCCGGCCGCCCGCCAGCCCCCTCGCCCCCCGCCCCGCGCAGTCTGATCACCAGCATGCCCTCCACCGCTTCGCTCCACGGATACCTGGTGCAATTTGGACCTTACTCCTAAGAATCGATTTTCATATATTATATAAGGTAGACTTAGCGGTCAGTCACCGAAGATTCTATTTCACATGAAGATGCCTCGTGTAGCACGAGCCGTATTGTTATCAGTAGGGTGTTTTTCCTAGTGTAGTAGTATTGGGAGTAGTGGTGCTTGAATTAGTGTTGACAGAGATAGTGCACGCAATTGAAGGAGTGCGGGAAGTGGTCTTCAAACTAGATTACTAGGTAAACTTCAAACAAGACACATCATTTTATTTTATCTAGCGGATGTACGCAAAGTAATTTTTACCAACTTTAATATAATGGATTTCTGCAAAGTAATGCCTGATTCTATTAATTATATAGGGTACACAATATTCGTGGTATCTATAACGAAAAAAAGTTTCTGTTTCTGTTTCTGCCCTTCTCTTCCAAGTGACCACAAAGCTGCACGTCACTTTACGTGGTAGAGCCATGCTGCAGCTATATTAATAGTATAGTTGTAGCACGAATGGGTCGGCTCGACCAGGGAAGGACCAAGCTCTCACAGAATACCAGCGTAAAACAGCAGCTTAATGCTGCTGTGTTTCGTATGGTAAGTGTAGAGAACCGGAGACCCTTTTTACTGGAAAAGAGGCATTTTATCTTAGTCCTCACGGCTGACAACGCATTTGCATTTTAATTCGCAAACGGAGACAGATGTACATGTCTATTGGTCACAGCAACTACTTACGATCAGGTGGACTTTGTGCTTGTTTGTCACCCTTATTCTATAAAAAAACAAACATCACTCGATATATCGACACCGAGCATTCCGATACTGGCTGAGGCAACAAGGGCAGTGTCTTGAAACTGACGAGATACGACAAATGGGTTCTTTTTAACGGTAAACGCGCAATCTTGTGCCTTTTGGCGATTGAACTGGACTAGATTTAGTCGCCTCCAGTCTGAGACTTTGTTCAACAGACGCAAGTTTGTTCCGGTACTCGGCGACATATTCCCGAGAAATATTGGCACGGCCGGTGTACAAAGCATCACCAGTGCTGTCGTCTGCATAGCAATGAATGTTCTACTCCGATCTGCAAGAATACTGGTGATCAAATTGCACAATTTCTTGGGAAGCCTATAGGAGGGCAGTTTCGAAAGAAGCGCTTTGTGCCAAACCCGATCGAAGGCCTTCTCCATGTCGAAATTAACGGGCAACGCCTCCCCCTTGAACTCCACTGCCTCAGCCCATCTGTGTGTTAGGTAACCTAGAAGATTAGCAGCTGAGCGACCTAACGACGGAAACAGTGCTGGCGGTCACTAATCAGCTGGTGATCCTTAAGGTACCGCATGAGCTGGCCGATAATAATGGTTTCCATTATTTTGGAGAACAAGGAGGTGACGGCGATAGGCCTGTAGTTGGACGGATCTGAGCAGTCGCCTTTTTCAGGGATCGGGTCCACCAAAGCTGTCTTCCATGAGTTTGGGACTACGCCTAGGGAGAACAGTACTGGAAAATACACTTTAAAACCGGTGCCAAATCGAGAGCACACGTCTTCAGCACAATAGGTAGGACTCCATCAGGCCCATTCGACTTGTTGACGTTAAGGGCCTGTCCCTTGCTTTATGCATCGAGCGTTGTGTAAACAGCACTTCCTGGATAGAGTACTCACACCGCGGGATATTCGGCGGTGTGTTCTCTCCGTCATCTAGAGTCGAGTTGGAAGCAAAAAGAGAGCCTAGTAGACTGGCTTTCTCCTTTGCGTCATGGGCCAGTGAGTCGTCCACCCTGTGCAGAGATGGCAGAAATCGCTGACAGAAGTTCCCTTGGATAGCCTTGGCGAGAGACCAGAATGCATTGTGTTCCCGAAGGAAGGCGAACTAGTTTCTCGCCAATTCTGCCGAAGTCTCTGATTTTGCCTTGGCAATGACACTTTTGAAGGACCTGGAGGCGGAATTATACTTCTTTTTAAGAGTGTTGGTGTTTACATCCCGAGACGTTGTTGCCTCAGCCCACGCCCGGTGCACTACTGCTTATAGCGTAATGCAATTTTACAGGAGTGACCAAACTATGGCTGACTTCTGCCTCCGATAGGCAGCACAGATGATGGAATAAATAATTCCGTTCCCTGAAGTACCACATCAACGACAGAATCAGAAACAACGTTGGGAGGATCCAGCGAGAAGCAAACCTGCCGCCAAGCGTAGGATGCAAAAAAAGATCGCATCTCGTCCCAATCGGCCGACCAATAGATTGACTTGGCCATCGCATAAAAACAATGTATCTCTCAAGTAAAACATAGTATATGAAATTAGTTTGTTTAGTGCGATTGCCAAATCAATTTATTTATTTAAAACTTAAAAGATTTTTGATATTGATATGGTTACTATAAGATTTTGCTAGGTTAGCTAATTACGTAATAATTTAAGGCAGAAGGACCCTTGAGTAGGGACGGAATAAATAAACCGACTTGGTATTACATGGATCTCACAACTTTTTATGGTAGAAGATCTGATCTGAGTTGCGAGACTTGGCTTTTTTTACAAGTTATGTTTTTGATGGCATCTCATTTCTTTTTGTAGATAGTTATATCTAGATACCTATTTACACCTATTATTCCAATATATTATACATATATAGGTACACTGATTCATTCACTGCAAATGTAACTTTGTAATCCTATATATTTGTATGGGATTACAAAGTTATTTATGCAGTTGGTGTATCTCGAAAACTGGACCGAAATTGCAAAATATTTTAATTATTCCTTGATTAATATATTAAACAATAATTGCATTCCAAAGAATGATGCCCATTTTTCACCTGACTATGTATAGAAATGACATAAATCTTAAAATTCAGCTAATTGAATTGTAAATTAAATATGTTACATATATGTCACAATGTTAAAAGAAACGCAGGAGAAAAATATTATTTAATATTTATTTAAGCTTATTCTAAGTCAAGGGTAAACGTATTACCACCATATTTTGAACGCATCTCAACTATCCTTTTTCTAGGACGTTCCATTTTACACACTGCTTAATTACACTCTTTATGTCAAAAATCTCTGCCTTAATTGAACTATTTTTCGGAGTTTTAAACACTATGTTATGTTTTATTTAACCAGTAAGTATTTCTTTATTACTCTTTCTATAGTACAGATTAATTAAAAATAACATAATAATTAAATAAATTAATCGTGTAGTATGTCATTGAGTGTGCTCGAGTGAAACGGATTTTTTTGACATTTGACAGTTCTATTGGCATCGGCACCTCCGTAGTAATAGTGTTCTGTGATCGGCGTAGTCATTCGTTGTTGCCACAGAGAATATAATCACTTATTGCGTTTGCGTCTCGTTGTGTATTGTGCTATTTTGTGTGTTTTTCTTGGATCATATAGAATAGAAATATGTAGGGATACACAAGATTTTTCTCAGTATAATCTCAGAGCAAGTGGTGATAAAACATTAATAAGAGATAGAAAAATTAAGTATTTAGTAACGGCAATTCCTAACCTAAAGAATAACATTAAAATTTTAAGGACTTCGTAGCGTTTAAATCGTTAAAATGACTATATGACATTATTTTCTAAACTTACAGGAAGTTTTCCTACTATACCTTATAACTATACATAAACTTTTACTATAAGGTTTTTAAATGTATGAAAAGTGGGCATGGTTCTTTGAAGCTTCTATGTCTGCTAGAAGTCCCTTAGAGTTTTGATGATCGGTCAGTCAGTGAGTGACAAAATTAAGAAACTTTGACTAGTTATAATTCTTAAACTACTGGTTCAAATTTCATGAAATTTGAAATATACCGAGTTTATACAATGCCTACTTGATTAGTGAAATTCAGGCTTCTAGTTTTATCCACAAAGAAGTTATAGTGTTTCGAAAATGGCCTGCACTGCTCCGAGAAAATAATGGCACGGCCGTACCGCTTTTTTGCTCGACTTGGCGGGGGCACTGCTGTGCCGCCAGATTTAAAACCACACCAATAATAAAACACAATTGTACTACTGATCACTTTAGTTCGCAGTTATTTCACTTCGAAGTATTCGCTTGTATCGCCAATTCAATACCGACTCAGTCGTGGTCTATACCGGCCTTATATAGGGTCTCAGATAGTTTCCAGAACCTTCTTACTTTAGAAACATTTGTTCTAGTACATATCGGTCCCGAAATTTCTAGAAGGATCTTGACTCTCCTAGTTCTGCTACTCGATACTAGAGGGCGCTATTGGTAACTAGTGTTGCCATGTACAAGACATTAATAGTGGCGCGCAACAATATTTATATTATTAATTATTAAGTAAGACTCAAAACTACTGGTCAGATCTTAATCAGATTTATATGGAACCACATGATAAACACCAGGTTTCAAATTAAAGAAAAAGTCATCATAATCGATTAACGTAGACAAAAGTTCTGAGGTAACACATAAAAAAATACAGGCGAATTGAGAATCTTCTCCTTTTTAGAAGTCGGTTGAAAATATCGTAATTTAGATACGATTTTGACGCTCGAGAACTGATACTTCTTGAAATAGTATATGCTAGAAAAACAAACGCGCGCACAGTCCACCTAATGGTAAGTGGATGCTGTGAACCATACACATTTATCTTCGATTAAGAACTAAAATACAAATGCATTGTCATCTTTGAGGGCTAAGATGAGACGCCTTATGTACAGTTAAGAAATACTGAAAAAAAATTTAATTGCAATTCTATTTAACACGATGTGATGATTGTTAATAACCAATGTGCCCGACAGTAAGCTTCGTCAATACAGTTCGTATTGTATAACCAAGGCTCCAAAGTCTTTGCCAGAGATCTGTCGGCCAGAAAGAGCCAACTGTCGAAGCTGAAGACCGAGTGTGGCAGCGTCGTTTCCAGGACACCTCAGATTTTGAGTGAGATTGAGAAGTTCTATGGGCAGCTGTACACGTAACGTAACGTAAGTAACGTGTGAGTAATGATCCAAGAGCAAGTCTTCATCATCATCATCATCA